AGACTCAATCCCAGAAAAAATTGCACAGCACAAGACAGGATGCATAGGAATATCTTAAGTTGCTGTAGCATTCATTTTACCAATTTTTAAAAATATATTTTTAGAGGCCAGAGAGATAACTCAGCACTTAAGGGCACTGGCTGCTTTTTCAGAGGCCCTGGGTTTGATTTCCAGGATCCACACAGTGGTTCATAGCTGTCTGTAATTCCACTTTCAGGGAATCCGATGCCTTCTGTCCTGCATGGACACCAGACACATATGTGTGTACAGACACACATACGGACAAACATCCATACACACATTTTTAGTTTTGTAATTATGTGTGTGTGTGTGGATTATGTGTGTGTGGAATATGTGTACGGGAGGGCATGTGCCCGAGGAAGCCAGAAAAGAGTGTTCCCTCTCTTAAAACTGGAATTACAGGCGGTTGTGAGCCCCCTGGCATGGGTGGTGGGAGCCAAACTCAGTTCTCCCGCAAGTTCAGAATGCACTCACTTATTTTCAATTCTGGATGTCTTGTCTCAGGAGCGGCCCACCTTGTTGCCGTTGTCTTTAATATATTTTGCTGTTCGACTTTGGGAGTGTATCTGTGTGTGTCCACATGTACAGTGTACATGCACATGTATATGCATGCTTGTGCACAGTAGAGGTCAATATGGGTGTTTTCCTCAGTTGCTCTCCATCTTATTTTTTGAGGCAGGACCTCTGATTAAACCTGAAGCTTTGATTCTGCTACCTTGTCTGGCCGGCAAGCCCAGGGGTGTCCTGTCTCCACCTCCCCAGGGATGGGAAAGTGAGCGCATGTGGCACTCAGGATGGAATCCAGGCCCTGGTGCTTACAGGGCAGGTGCTTCATTGTTTGAACCCTTCCTGGCTGAGCCATCTCCCTGCCCCCATGTGTCCCATATGTCTCCTGTCACATACACAAAACGTTCCTCTCTCCAAAAATCCAAGTTCTCTGTGGCCCCATAAGTGTAGAACAACACTTGAAAGGAAATTTAGAAATTTCTATTTCAAAAACATGATATTTCTACCTTCTACACACAGTGAAAATGAGATAGCAAAGGAGAAATTTGGGCTAAGAGGGACATACAGTGGTGTGAAGCTGGATTCCAACTTCAAATATTTAGGGTTTTCAGTTCATTTTTCCTCTGTGAATCATCTCTGTAGCCAGCACTGAAGAAAATGCATCTCAGCCGGCAGTGGTGACGCACGCCTTTAATCCCAGCACTTGGGAGGCAGAGGTAGGCGGATCTCTGTGAGTTTGAGGTCGGCCTGGTCTACAAGAGCTAGTTCCAGGACAGGCTCCAAAGCTACAGAGAACCCTGTCTGGAAAAAAAAAATTAAAAAGAAAAAGAAAGAAAGAAAGAAAGAAAAAAAGAAAGAAGAAAATGCATCTTATACATTTATGTTCATATGACCTCAAGGAATTACTTCTAGGGGTTATATGGAGTCTGTAATATTTCAGCAATCTTAATTCTTGCAATACATAAACATAGGAGAGAGAGAGATAGTGTATGTGTGTGTGTGTGTTGTGTGTGATTACTTTAATCAATTTTTGGGGTTTTTGTTTGTTTGTTTGTCTTTCAAGACAGGGTTTCTCTGTAGCTTTAGAGTCTGTCCTGGAACTAGCTCTTGTAGACCAGGCTAGTCTCAAACTCACAAAGATCTTCCTGCCTCTGCCTCCCACGTGCTGGGATTAAAGGCGTGCGTCACCATCGCCTGGCTGTTTTTTGTTTTTAGAGACAGAGTTTCTCTGTAGTTTTTGAGCCTGTTCTGGAACTAGCACTTGTAGACTGGTCTCAGATTCACAGAGATCCTCCTCTCTGCCTCCTGAGTACTGGGATTCAAGGCATGCGCCACCACCACCCAGCTCTTTAATCAATTTTTCGGTATCTGGGGTTGAGACTGGGGCTGGTAGAGTACTCACCTAGCAGGCGAGAGCCCTGAACTCAACCCTAGGCATTGCATAAACTGGGTGTGGTGGAAACACCTGCAGTTCTGGGAGGCAGAAGGATCAGAAGTTCATGGGTTTCCTTGGTTACGGAGGGAATTCATCCTGGGCAGGAGTCTCTGAGTCAAAATTTGTTTTTCAGTGTACAGATATTCCCTTTCTTTGATCCCTTAGTACTTCGTGTGTGTGTGTGTGTGTGTGTGTGTTTGTGTGTGTGTGTGTGTGTGTATTGTAAAAGGATTGTTTTCTGATTTCCCTTTTTGAATATTTTGGCGTTAGCATATAGAAATCTCCTCCACTTTGGTTTTCAAGCCCTGGATGCCCCAAACTCACTCTGTAGACCAGGCTGGTCTGGAACTCTGAAATCCACCTGCCTCTGCCTCCTAAGTGCTGGGATTAAAGGCCTGTGCCACCACTGCCTGACTAGAAACATCTCTCAAGAGCTGAAGAGACAGCTCATTAGTTAAGAGCACTTGCTACTCTTGCAGAGAGGACCAGACTGGGTTTCAAGCACCTAGACCAGGTGGTTCACATCAGCCTGTAACTCCAGCTTCAGGGGATCCAACACCTTCTGGCATCAGTGGGCGCCTACAGTGAAGTCTACATACCATATACTTAATTACTAAATAAAAAGAAAACTTTAGATAAACAATACAGTTAACTTAAACTATTCTTATGACTCCCCCCACCCCCACCCCTTTTTTTTTTTTAAGACAAGGTTTCTCTGTAACTTTGGAGCCTGTCCTGTAACTAGCTCTTGTAGACCAGGCTGGCCTGGAACCCACAGAGATCCACCTGCCCCTGCCTCCCGAGTGCTGGGTTAAAGGCTTGTGCCAGCACCACCACCTGACTCGATCCTTATGGCTCTTGTTGGCCCATTCTGCCTCACTAGGAATACATCTTTGGAATTTAAATGAAGATGCGGCGGAGGTTTTCCCTAATCTTCAGCTACCACAATTATCTGTAGCTCCAGTTTCAGGGTTTTGGTGCCTCTTCTAGTCTCTAAGGGTGCTGTCTTCATGGGGTGTACATACATATACGCAGGCAAAACATTCACACTCATTAAATTATTATTGTTATTATTATTATTTTCGAGGCAGGGTCTCTCTGTGTTGTCCTGCCTGTCCTGGAACTCGCGTTGGAGACCAGACTAGCCTCGAACTCAGAGATCCGCCTGGTCAAGTGCTAGGATTAAAAGCCACATTAAAAAATTTTTGAAAAAGGAATATTTCACATTATTCTGTTGACTGTATTCTGTGGCTTTTTTATTTGATTAGTTCTAACAGTTCTTTGGTTTTGCTCCTAAGATCCTTTTTAAATTTACATTGCTGGTATTATCCATTAGGCAGTAAAGGATTGTTGGGGGTTGTAAAAGCTGCTTCCGTGCGTCTTGGAGGAGGGGTGCGAAGTTGCTCAAGGCTACACCTGCCCACAGGCATTTGAGGCGCCCTGCGAAGGCAGGTTCCTCTTCTGCACTTCCCCAGCTGTCCGCTGGGGGGCGGGACGGGCCGAAGAAGAAGGAGGCAACCGGAAGAGCTGGAGGAGGTGGAAGCTACGGACTTCAAGCAACCCCAGGCTGCGTTCCAGGGCCGCCTTCTGTCACGTTTCTACTTTTGACTTCATTCACCCGCCACTTCTCTGGTTAGAAGACTCAGAGAGGTCGTCCAGAGACTCAATCCATACGGGATGATTCCCCTCCATTTCAGCCTCTCCACTACAATCCAGCTGCGGTGCCCACTTCTGAGGGGTCATAGGTGACCCTGGGTTTCTCCAGGGGGCCCAGGCCAGCCAGGCAGCATTGCAGAGGATCAAGCATGCATGAGCCCCACCAAAGGCCCCTGCTAAGAATGCAGGTCAGCTGGAGGAGTTGCAAGGGGAGGAGGGAGGGCCCTGGCCCTGCCCAGACAAGCCCAGCCGGCCCTACAGCTGCCCTCCTGTCCCCGGGGGGCAGATTTGGGGAAAAAGAGGGGACTCACCAGGTTTCTGGGGTCTAATTCCCCCAGAACCAGGAAGACAAAAGAGGTGCCCCGCAGGAGTGCCTCAGGCAGGAGGTCACAGGTAAACAAGGCTCTGAGTTGTTAAATCCTGTAAAAGATGAAAGCAGGTGCCCACCCCAAACCAGTCTGGCTTTCTCCACAGCCCCTAAATTATCCTGATGTCCTCTTCCAGGGTCCCCTTAAACTCTGAGGCCCCCAGATCTCTCAGACATGTGATTGGATGGGCCAATCTGAGAACCAGATTTGACTAGAGAAATTTGGTTACGGGTTGTAGGGGCTGGGAATCCCACAAGGGAAAAAACATTTCTTTTTGGAGAAAAGAAATATAAACAAAAGGTATGTAGGGAAGGTGACAGGGAGCAATGACCAAAACAAAAGCTGAGTCCCTATCCCCTTCCAAACACCGGGTCTCTGCAGTCATGAGCTTTCATTCTGAATTGGATACCAGCTAATGAGTGGGCATCTCTAGTCTCTCTGAAGACAGCGAGTCCCGTGAGGGTGCGCCTGGGCACACTGCGGTTGCGCAACCCCGGCAGGTTTCTTGCTTTGAGTAGTAGCAGCAACCTTTCCCTCATACTTTCCAGCTGGACAGATGCCCATCAGATATCCTGGCTGCCTTTCATCGCCTTGTCTCTGATAGGGATCATCCTGGGTGAAGAAATCGCTGTCAGTCACCCCATCTCGCTCACAGCCAGAGGGACCGGTTGACACGCATGCTCCCATGGGGGTGGGGAGAGTCGGGCGGCCAGCTATGACAGGGAAGGGAGGGGACCTTGGGGAGGAACAAGTTATAAGTAGAATACGGAAACATCCTGAAACTGCTCCAATCCACAGATGAGTACCAGAGACTATGGATCCGGAAGCAGCGATTCTGTCCTTATCCCCTTCAGGAAAGGATCAGATCCAAGCTCTGACCAAGCCAATTGAATAGAGGTGATGCTTGCCCAAGGACCCCCTTGCCCAGTCTTCACTGTGGAGGGACAGAGTCAAAAAAAAAAAAAAAAAAAAAAGGCTAAGCTGGAAGACAAACAAAGCAAGAATGTGGTTGGTTGATGACTTTATTGTTGCATAAAAAACACAGGCTATTTCTGCCTCCTCCTCCCCACCCCCCAAGTGGGTTCACAGCAGTAAAAGAAAAAAAATCCTACATTTTCCTCTAGGGGGGCTGCCTAGAAGGGCAGGCAGCTGAGAAACCTAGGTTGATAAAGAGCAGGGCAAACAAAAACTATCCAAAGCCCCACCTGCAGATCTTAGGGTTCAGAGCGTCTATAAGGGGGACCATGCATGACCCCCCCACACCCATGTAGGAGTTCCCCTAAGAATGGTCACTGGAAAAGGTTGTCTTGGTAGCACAGGGAGAGGGTGGCTGGTTTCGATGGGTGGAGGAGAGAGCATCCCACACCCACGGTGCCCTTCTTTCTCCCCCTCTGTGCCTACCTAGCCAGGCAACCTGCAGACATGGCGGCTTTGCTCTTGCTCTCAGTCCTCTTTGTAAGAAAGGGGACCTCTGGCTTAGGTTAGCAGGAGGTGAGGAAAAGAGGGAGAATATAGAAAGAACCTTATTCTTAAACTACCTCAGGCCCCTACATCCCACAGGGAGTCACCCTGTCCCTTTTAAGGAGGAGCTCTTTCTACACAAACACATATTCCTACCCAGATCCCAGCCCCTACTTCCCATACAGTTCCCAGTCCTCGGACTGGGCTCCAGCATCCCCAATGGAGGAAGAGATACTGTGGGTCTAGGCCCCAGACCTTGGATGGGGTTAACAAGATGGGGTCTCAGAAGACCCCAGGCTCAGTAGAGAAACACATACATACATACATACAGGTACAGACAACACACACATATACACTCACACCCTAAAATTATTAAATAAAATACCCATTGCTTATAACTTAAAAATCAACACACAGCTATTCCCTGCAGAGGGTTCTGGGTGGAGAGAAGAAAGCAAGAGAGAGGTCGGAGGGACTCAAGGCCTCTGCCTCAAACCTGAGTGTGCCTCCAGCCCCAGGGTCCTGTGGTCTGCTAGGCAGAAATCTACCCTCCCCACCCTGTGATCAAAACCCAAATGTATCTCTAGCATCTAAGAAAGGGACAAAGAAAGAGCTTCCTAGAGTCCCTTCTAGGGGAGAACTCTTCATATGGAAGGAGAATTCTCACGGGGGGGGGGACTCTATAATAGTGGAGGGGACATGAAAGGGTCAAGCTAAAGCTAAAAAGAGGGACAGGGGAGTCCAGACAGGAACAGGGTCCTCCACTGTAATCCCTCTGCTAGGACAACCCCAAACAGTCAAAGGACCCCTCTCCCTTCCATCCCCATTGAGAAAGCTAAAGATAGGGACCTGAGGGTGGGGTGGGGTAGGGTAGGGGAGTCTATGTCAACTCTGGAGTTGGTGTTGGTGCCTGACTTTAGAAAACTACCTAGGGTATTGGATGGAGAATGGGAACTACTGAATTTGATTTCTTTTTAAAAGGTCTAAGAGTTAAGGATTGAATTAGAGTTGGAAAAAGAAGCAGTTAGTTCTTCCATCCCCCCCCCCCATGTCACGCTTCTTCCAATTTTGTAAGAGGACCTCCCTGCTGGATACCTCTCCCCATGTATCTCTGACCTCCAGCTCACAGCTCTGGCTACGAAACTGTGCCTTTCCTGACTCTTGTAGACTGAATCAGAAGGGTTTATAAGGAATTCATTGAAGGGGTTTGTTCTATTGGAGCAACCCTCGTAAGGGGAACCACCCCAGGCTCCCCTACCTCATCTCTGCTCTCTCTCTGGAAATTTTAGAGGGACAAGCGCTAGCAGGGGGATGAAAGGGACCTGGGCCTTTGGGCGGCTCCGAGGTGCTTTTATGTCCAGGTTCCCAGGAGCTAAAGACGTGTCCAGACAGCTACCCCCAACGCCCCAAGCCAGTCTCTCTTCCCCTCAGCTCCTGGGACGTGCCATTTCTATTAGACGAACCCTCCACATGATAGGAGTGCTCCATCCTAACCCTTCAACAACTCAGGGGAGGGTGAAATAGTGAGAAAGAAAAGAAGCGAGGGGCGGGACACTTAGCTCCTGGCAGCCTAACCACTCAAATAGCCTCTCTTCTAGCCCCAGAAACTAAAAAACAAACAAACAAACAAACAAACAAAAAAACCTTAGCGCCCCTCTCCCCGTCCCCTCACCATCAATAAATAACCACCTTCCCCTCTTCCTCAGGCCGTCCCCCTAAAAAGATCGGCAGGGATGTGACATCCATGGGGGCTCAGTTGGAGGGCGCCGAGCTGCTTTCGGCCTCCCGTTTGCCTTTGCTCCCGGGTGGCTCCACCGTGCCGCCCGCCTTGGCCTCGCCCTGGGCCGCCGCCGCAGCCTCCTCTTTGGCTCCCTCGTGGGTTTTCATGTGCTTGGCCAGGTGGTCGCTGCGCATGAAGACTCGGCTGCAGACCGCACAGGGAAACTTCTTGGTCCCGGTGTGGGTCTGAAGGTGGCGCTGCAGCTCATCGGAGCGCGTGAAGCGCTTGCCACAGAAAAGCCAGTTGCACACGAAGGGACGGTCGCCGCTGTGCCACCGCAGGTGCGCCTTCAGATGCGACGTCTTGGCGTAGGCTTTCCCGCAGCCTGGGATGTGGCAGTTGTGCAAATGCTTCTTCTTGCCCCCATCGGGCCCGCACGGAGCCCCGAGTCGCTCCGCCTCCAGGCAGTTGGGGCAGCGACACACGGTCTGCCCAGAGCTGCGGGGCACAGACCGCCGGGAGCCTTTGGGTCGGGCCGCCGCATCCAGACTGGAATCCAGCCCTTGGGACTCTGGCGCCGCCGCTTCCAAGGCCTTAGCCCCGTCGGGTGGCCCTAGGAGGTGCTGCCCACCCGCGGCTGGGAGGAGGTGGTGCGGGTGCGGATGGGGCGGCGGAGCACAGAGCTGGTGGTCTCCGACGTATCCTCCCAAACCCGGCTGAAGCGCCCCCGGGTGGCCAGGTGAGGTCAGCGCTCCTTGAGTATGGGGGAGGTCCATCCAGCTAGTGCCGGGATGTAGGTCCCACCACGAGCCATCCTCCGTGCCTGGGTGAGTCGGCCGGAACCACGATTCGTAATGATGTGACATGTCCGGCTGCAGGAGCTTGGAAAAGGGTCCCGGAGCCAAAGGACTGTCACTTTCCAGGTCCTCGCAGGTTACCCGCGAGGAGGCCCCTGGCAACTCATAGCCCTGTGAGAAGTCTACCTCCGGGCCCAGCGGGAGGCTCTGCAGCTCTCCGGGCTGCAGCGGGGAGGGGTAGTCCCCGACCTCAGGGCTCGTGTGACCCTGGTACGTCTGGAGAGGCTGCAGGTCGAGGCGCGGCGGTGATGCGTGAGGCGCGTCGGTGTGCTGGCTGCCCAGAGAGCCACAGACAGCGGTTAGCATTGCCGGGATCCGGGGTGGGGTGAGGGCAGGGACGGTCAAGGGCACCTCAGGTGGGACCTAGAGGAGGCAAAGATGAGACGTAGTAAAGAAGGAGACCGACCTGCTTACTTTCCCTATCCCAGATCTTTCCTAGCAAAGCGCTCCTTCCGAGCCCCAGGAGGAAAAGGGGGCGTGCCTCTGGGTGGAGACAAATCAGTTCGAGCCCGGGAATGCTATGAAGGAATAAGAATGTGAAAGTTTAGGTCAGGGCACGGAAAGGTCTTTCCTCTAAGTGACCCCGCCCTTAGGATTCAGCTCCTCCTGGAGTTGGGCTGGTCCCAGTGCCGCCAGAACCATCTCTACACAGCTGCCTGGGCATTCCCCCCCCCCCCCCCCCGCAGACCTGCTGCCAACCTAAATGATTGATCTAGATTCATCTTGCCCCAGGCTAACTCTGGACACAGATAGGGCAGGGGTATGCTTCTGGCTGCTTGAGGTGATTTACCCTTTAGAAAGTCCAGAACAGGTCCTGAGATTTTTGCCAAAGCCAATCTCACAGACCTGCTGTAACGACGTGGAATAATAGCATTTAATCTCTCTATACACTCCCGGGCTTGATTGACTCTGCCCACCAAACCCATTCCCTAACTCAACACCCACTCCTTCGCCTTACCAGAGAAAGAGATCACCCAGAGAACGGCTTGTTAGAAACTCACAAAAATATAGCCGCTGCTCCCTTATGGAAGGCAGCATCAGAGTTTGGAAGAGATGGGCATCCTTTATCCCAGAACCCAAGGGCAAGCGTTGGAGAGCTTGTAGAAGCCCCTTCCAGTACTCTGATGTTGAGAGTTACTGTTCTGAGCTGCTCTTATTGAAGAAAGCAGAACTTGGAGCAGCGACTAGAATAAGGTGCCCATTTAATCATTCAATCAACAAGCATTCACTGTGCAGTACCTCTGGGAACCAGTTCCCTTTCATAAAGCAGTAGAAACCTAAGGCCCAGCAGAAACCTAGAGATCTGGCCTGGGTGTGGTGATGCAAGCCTTCAATCTAAACACTCAGGAAATCAAAGCAGAAGGATGCAGAGTCCCAGACCAGCCTGGGCTACACGGGAAAGAAGGGAGAGAGGGAAGGGGTGAGGGAGAGGGAGAAAGAAGAAGGAGAGGAGAAGAAAAAGAGAAGCTGCTAAGCGTTGTGGGGACCATCTAATAAATAATCTCCGCACTCTGGAGGCTGAGACAGAAAACTTCTGAGCTCAGCCTGGGCTTGGAGACAAGACCGTTTTAAAAACAAAACAAAACAAAATTAAAGAAACCTTAAAACCTCCACCGTTTTCTCCACTATAAATCTATGACCTGAAGGTCCCAGTCTTCTCTCCATCTCTCTCTAGAGCTTTAGAATCTTGCCTCTCTGCGGGCTGGCATGGAAGAAATCAATGATTTAGAGCCTTCCCGAAGCAGGGCTCAGCTGACCCTACTAACCTCCCGCCTTTGGGACCAGGGCGGTAGCATTGATAGTCTGGGAGAGGCAGGGAAGAGGAGGACTCGGGTGCCTACTCTGGCTCTGGCAGTCTTACCACAAGAAAGGAACAGGGTGAAGCTGCAGGAATGGAGCCTCAGGCCGGGGCGGGGCAGCCCAGAAGGGGTTGGGCTGGAGCAGTGAGGCCTGGGACCCTAATAGCATTTGGCGCCTGGGAATTGCCCCAGGGTCGGGGGGGGGATGGGAAGGCTAAGATGACCCATGCTGCGAGGGGCCTCTCTGGACAGAGAGCTTGAGCCCAGGCCCAGAATGCAATGGCCTGCAATCAAGGCTGCACTAAAAGAAAGCAGAGCGAACACATCGGCTCCCCAGTTCGAAAAAGAGGGTAGAGACAGACGTCTTTAAGTCCCAAGGATCGTCTGCCTTTCCCGATTCCCAGTGCCCAGGCGGTGGGGACTTTTGTTCAAACATGGTTTTCAAAGTTCCAATACTCCGGTTGTCCCAGTTGCTCCAGTTTCCCCAGTTCCCAAACTCCCTTGGTCCCTCCAGTCCCTCCCGTCCTCCCGGTTTTTCCTCCGTCTGGGTACTTAGTTCCTCAGATCCTTTACGACCACCCTCCCCATGAGGCCAGCTCAGGCTGCCATGTGTTCCGAGCATCTTTCCCCTCGGATCTCCGCCGCGCGCGTCCCTGGCCGCGCGTACCCGGGCTCCTTCCTACCTGGCGGTTGCGCTCGGGCTCGGGGCACCGCAGGCTGGCGCGCTACAGACGGGCGCTCATGGGCTCTGCGCGCTGGCCGGCTCTCAGCGGCGTGGGACAGGAGCCGAGGGCAAGCTGGGGTCGCGACCAGAGCGGGTGATCGGCGGCGGTGGAGGCGGTGAGAGCCGGCGGGAGGGTGGAGGGCGGGCGGGCACCGGTGAGCGAGTAAGCGAGCGAGGGAGGCCAGCTCCGCCCGTGACTCACCGCGCTCTCTGCCTTCATCCTCTCCCCTGCGCTCCTTTTTCCCCCCGAACCCGCGGCCCCGCCCACTTCACCTGCGGCCGCCTTTAACCCTTGCTGGCTCGGCTGGAGGCGAGGCCCAGCCCAGCGCGAGGAGGGGGCGGGCGAGAAGGATGGCTAACCAGGCCATTTCCCTCCCTCTCCCTCACTCCTCCCAGGTCCCCACCACTCCCTGAGTTAAGGAAGGACCTAAGTTGGAAAGTTTTTCCTATATTCAGAGACCGTGTCCGATCCCGTGGAAATCTGATCCAGAGCTGGTTCGGTTCGGCGAGGGACACGGCTCAGACCCGGGATGGGACGAAGGACCGAGAGTCCCGGGAGAGCTATCGAGCCTTCCTTAGGACCCGTGTGGCTACCAGTGCTTTTGACCCCGCGTCTGGTCTCGCAGTGCTAGAACTGAGTGAAAAGGAGACCAAGTTTTTGCCCGACCCACCCCCCAGGCCTAGGCCAAGAGAGAAGTGTATTTTGGCTACACCTCTGCCCTCCCTCCACCACCACCATGCGCCGAACTTTCCCCTCCGCTTTCCTGAGATCCTCCCCCTCTATCTGGCCACTGGACTTTTTGGGTGATGAGCATCCTCTCAATGTCTTCCCCAGTCTCCGGTTCTCACTGGCCCCCAAATCCTCTCAGTGTATTCTCTCCACCTTTCCTTAGGCGGCAAGCCTGGCGCCATCAAAGTCCACTACGTAAGTCCGCCGGCTTCTTCCCGGTCCCGGTTGCTCAGCCTGTACGCGGGGTTGCTGCCGCGCACTTGGATCTGAGGGTTGGGTTGGCACCTGAATGGCCCGGGAAAGGCACATTTCAGCCACGGATTGAACGAGTCTTTTTGCCACCCTCTCTTTCCGAGTCTCGGCTGAGTATCTTAAGTTTAGAGAAAGGTCTTGGATTCCTTGGCGGAAATAAACGCAAAGCCACATTCTGGTACATTTTCAGGGCGTCCACCGCGCCATCAAACAAAACTCTCAAGATCCGAATTGGTGGAAATCCTGACATCCCTACCTCGAACTCAGCTGGGCACCACAGTACCCCCAATTCTCTGCCCTGATGGCCTGGCTAAAAGTAGTTCATGTGCCTTCCCTGCCACCCCCCAAGCCCGCGCGCTTTGACCTCCCTATGTGATCCTTTCTGATACTGAATTTCTGAGCGATTTTCGTTGTCTCTTTCCTTATCGGGTCTAGCTTTCTCTACGCACTCTTTAACATCAATTTCTGAGAGTTCTGTCATTTAGACTAATTTAATCTCGCCATTATGGACTCTTCTTTTTCTTTTTCTTTTCTTTCCTTTCCTTTCCTTTCCTTTCCTTTTCTTTTCTTTTCTTTTCTTTTCTTTTCTTTTCTTCTTTCTTTGCTTTTTAAAGCTGAGTCTCACTTTGTATCCCAGGCTGGCTGGGAAATCACTTGATTGCTCATGCCGGCCTCGACTCTGCAACAAACAATCTTCCTGCCTCAACCTCCCAAATTCTAGAATCACGGGTGTTAACGACCACGCCCGGCTTTCAGTCCTCATTTCACTCCGACTAGTTTATCTGTTCCCGTTTGAGACACACTGAAGTATTCCATCAGCCTTCTGAAAGTCAGTGCAGGCACGTGTCTCCCTAGCGGTCAGTGCTTCAGCTATTTGAACACCTTTGTAATTTCTAAAACTGGAGTCCTTCACCTGGACAACCTGGGTACAAGCTGGGAGGGTTTCCTTGGGCATAAGTAAATCGCATCTAAAAGAGCAAATTCCCTGCTAGAAAGAGAATAACCCTTAATTCTTTTAAAATAAGTCTGTTGCCAGAAACACGTTCAGATTAAAGTACATTCAGAAAGATCTTTGGACTAGAAGGTCACAAACCTAAATCCTGGCCCCAGCAGGACATCTTTTACACTGACCCTCTAGGACTATGTTATTCTATGCCTCTGGTTTCCTCAGTCGACCTGGAGGGTATTAGGAAGCAGAAGACATATAAGGTAGAGTTTGGTGACCAGCCTGGACCTTTTGTTCGTCCCTCTTCCCTGCCCTTAGAGTTACATAACAACAATTCTTAAGAATCCCTTTGGCTGTTTGGGTTCAAATTCACACTTTTTATCAACACAGTTTGTCCACTCGATCAACCTTCAAATCCTAACTGGTGGGGTTTGCATTCTCAGTTCACAGTTACCTCCAGAGCCGAGTTAGGGGTTCCTAACTCAGGGAGCAGTTAGACCCTGGCATTCCAGTCTCCCCAGCCGTCTGAAGTCAGTGCATCTGCTACACAGTGGTTCTCAAGCCGTGGATCTCGACCCTTTCGGTGGGTTGCATATCAGCTATCCCGAACATCGTATATTTACATTCCGACTCATAACAGTAGCAAAATTACAGTTATGAAGGGACAACAAAATAACTTTAGGTTGAGGATCACCACATCATGAGAAACTGTATTAAAGAATTGAAGCATTAGGAAGGTTGAGAACCACTGGTCCACTGTTCCTCCAGCCAGGCAGGCAGGAGCTAAAGCTAAAGTCAGTCTGAGTGCCCGCATCCAGGTGTCAGACTGCCTTATTTTCCAAGTGCTGTCCATCTTTTCTTGGAAAGCAGCTAGGAAAAGAATGGCAGAAACCCCACTTCAGGTTCCCCTTAACACTGCCGTGTCCTGGAGCAAAGAGTCTGCGACAGCTTTGTGACCCGAGTCAGCTGGAGGGAAGCTTCTCCTGGACCTCAGGGTCATCCTGCCTCTCTGCCCTGCCTAGCTGGCTCGCTTTCTTTCAGACAACCTGGACCTCATTCCTCTGCTTCCAACTTGTTCCTTTTCCCACTTGCTAGGTGAGTTCTCCTAACAAATGACGGTTGTGATCTAATATTGACTTGACTTCTCAGGAGGTCACCATAGCCTGCCTCAAGATTGAATTGCCTGTCACACACATCGAGATGTGCTCAGGACACTGTCCGCTTCTATTCCTTCTTTCATTCTCTCAAAGTCTTAGATTTTTCCAAGTCTCTGTCTCTTCTACCTGCCAGGCCTCACCTCAAACTTCTTTCACAGTAAGTGATCGTTTTGTGCCTGTCGCGGCCTCCTTGACTGGCATGTTCATCGGAGGCAGCATTTCTGTATTGAGCACCCACCATGTGTACTCCAGGTACTTCCTCCCCACAAGGACCTCTAATTCTCATGAGCATGCAACAAAGTAATTATTACTATCATTCCCATTGTACAGATGAGGAAGCCAGGGATCAAAGAAGCTAAATGACCTGCCCAAGATTACAGAGATGTTAACTGATAAAAGAGGAAACTGAGTCCAGATAGGTAAGGCTCCAAAACCCACATTCTCCCTGCTATTCTGTCTGGCTTCACTATGACCAAAGGGATGGCCCTGGGAGCTCAACATTTTTTTTTTTTCCAACACAGGGTTTCTCTGTAGCTTTGGCGCCTGTCCTGGAACTCACTCTGTAGATAAGGCTGGCCCCAAACTCACAGAGCTCTGCCTGTCTCTGCCTCCCTAGTACCGAGATGCAAGGCATGTGCTGAGAACAACATTTTTAACAGACCTCTAGGTTCAGGCCACCGACATTTTGTGTCTAATAGGATGAATTGATTTATCTCAGATTACAGGAACAAATCACATTCCACACAGGTGTTCCTTTCCAGACCCCACATTGTCACTGTGAGGGACTGGAAATGTAGCTCCATTGGTAGAGTATTTGCTTAGCATGAATGAAGCCCTGGGTTCAGTCCCCAGCACCTAATAAAACTGGGTGTGGTGATGAACACCTGGAATCCCAGCTCTGAGGAAGTAGAGACAGGACTCAGGAATTCAAGGTCATCCTTAGCTATATAGTAAGTTTAAGGCCAGTCTGCACTTCATGAGATTTTGTCTCAAATGACAACTGAATTGTTCTAACAATAAAAATTATCAGATACAAGTACTGATAGGAAAACTGAACCCCTCAACAGGGAGATACCTAACTCAAAATTACACAGCGAGTTAGAGGCAGAGCAGGCTAGACCTTACCTCCTAATTCCTGGGTTCCTAGTTGCTCACTATTTCCTACTCCTCACTCCCAACTCCATGGCTCCCAAACTTCAAGCTGGTGACCCAGGCCACCAGCACTTTCCTCCTGTCTCTGTTAACACTCTCAGATTCCTGGAAAAATGGGCACGGTCCAGATATGGGGCCAGATAGTTTAATTTATCCTTCTTTAACAGACATTGAGAGACTACTAGGACCAAGCAGTGTGCTGGGAACTGATTTTTTTTCATAAATACAAATATCACTAGCCTCTATCATCTGTTTATCTGTTTTTAGTCTAAAGGATGAACACCTCTTAGAAAGTCAGTGTGTGTGTGTGTGTGTGTGTGTGTGTGTGTTGTGCGTGTGTATGTACATGTGTGTACCCTGTATGTTTATTAATATTCACCCATACTTTCAAATTGAAGTCCCCAGTCTTGAATCCCTGCCCTACATCTTGCCCAGATCTCAGCCCAACCCATTCCGAAGACCTCCCAGGGATCCTTGTTGGTCCTCCCTCCCCCACAGATCTCCCTTTTATCCCCCTTCTTCAACTGAGAAAGTTTTCTAGACCCGTCTCTTTCAGAAGAGACCTGGTCTTCTTCCCGAGGGTCCCCTATGCTAGACAGGGAAGAGTCTTTCTTACCAGTCCATGGAGCCCAGAGCTGGCAGCAGCAAGGGTGGGCAAGTGGGGTGTCGGGAGAGCTGGGCTTTATAGAGGAGGCGACAGTGAGAGCCAGAGAGGGAGCTGGGAGAACAGGCAGGATGCTGCCAAGTCCTCCCGGCCTCAGAAGCTTTTAGGATAATCCAGGAAGCAGTGGCCTGATTCTCATGGGGGGAGTGGGAGTGGGTGAGAGCTGAGAGTGAGGGCTGCCAGGAAGGGAGGACTACAGCTGGAAGGGGCAGCTGGGGGTGGGGACAGAGCGCCGCACAGGACTTCCTTCTCCAGGGTCCAGGGTGGGCAGTGGGAGAGGGAACGGAGGAAATGAGTCCATTGCTGGGGAAAACACTGGTGGGGTTGGGACTCTCTGAATGCCAGCCTCTCCCCAGCCCCCCAACCCCCACCCCGCCTCCCTGAGATTTTGAGGTTTTTCTTCCATTGACTTGGACTTGGTGGGAAAGAAAAGAAGTTCCATTTTTTTAAGACCCGAAACACACACATACACACACAGCTCCAATGCCAGGCTTTCCCTAAACTGCTCCTAGCCAGAGTAGCTCTGGTTACTCTGACAAATCTTGCTTACCTCTAGGAGCCCGCTCTCCTACCCCCACCCCACCCCCACCCTGCAGCACTTTAAATCTGTTTTGTTCAAATCCCAACTTGGAGCCCCCAGGAGGAGCCAATGTAAACCTTTTTGAGCTTGGGACCTCTCATCCTCAAATGGAGACAGAGGCCTCTCTTTCTCATCAAGCACGAACTGGGTGGCTTGGGATGGACAAAGGGTCTCCTAAGACTAGAGCTGAAGCCCTCCATGGACTTCAACAGACAGTGGGCCCTGACCCATAGGAAAGCAAAGAGACTGGAGACTGGAAAGCCAGCAAGGGCCTCGAGGTGAATCCAGATGTTCTCCAATTAGAGGAGCCTAATTTAGGATGCCCCGCTGGCTGATGGAGTATGTCCTGGAGCGCAGAAACACAGGGCCAGGAAGAAGAGCAGAGGTGAAACCGAAAGCTGTGGTCATGAAGGCTTCTGAAGCTGGGTCTTCTGACCCACACAAGAGCAGCCTGGAGCCTTATCATAGGACATGCCCCATCCCCAGGCATGGGGCCCTCAACGCTGAGGACAGGTGCTTCAGCATACCCCACCCCCACAGGGAACCCAGTATCTCAAGGCTAGCTTGCTACCTCCCTCCCACAGGTGAGCCAGGGAACCCTCACCCTAACTCCTCCTCCATCTCCTCCCAGCAATCTCCAGACTGGGGATTCCCAGTCTTTTCATTAGCTTTTCAGTAATTATCGAGTAAAGGCCCCAACAGGTTCTTCCTCTCCCCATTTCAGAGATGAGAAAACTGAGGTGGCAGGAAGCCACCCATCAAGCAAGAGAGAATAAGGTGATGGGGGACTTGGGAGGCAAAGCTGCACCTTCAGTCCTCTGCAAAATTAAGAGGACAGGGCCAGCACAGAGGGGACTCTGTGTTCCAAGGAGGGGCTTCCAAGCTGGCTCCAAGGAGGGGCTTCCCTGTCCCTCCCCACCTTCCAGCCCAGAAAACCCCAGCGAGGGGGACGGCACTCAGGAGACCACACAGGTGGAGTAAATAATGTTAATACAGGAGTATTATCACCAGGGCATTTCCTCATGGATAAATGTCTGAAATACCAAAGGATGCCTCCAAATTATAGTTAATTACAGAGTTGATTTGCATAAATTATAAGGTGAGCATACAAATTCTTTCAATCGGTTCCATATGCTTAGGTAGCAGGTCCAGTCCAGAAGACAGGAGAATCTGGGGCTGGGGGAATTTGAGAAAGGCAAAGGGACACAGCTCTGGACCTGGACTTGCAGGGCCTGTAGATCTTCCCCCAGGGCCAGTGAACCAGGAGCAGAGGTGTGAAGCCAGCCTGCCAGGATCCTGATGGTCAGGGCTCCTCTGCCTTTCCACCTCTGTCCTCATCTCCCAACAATGTGTTTTCCCAGCACCAATGGGATGAGGTAGGATGGGCTCCACGGGGCTTCGAGCTACTGAGCCAGGCACTGATAATCCCCCCCCTCCCCCGAGTCAGTCAGTCCTGACCCTCCGTCCCATTCTGGTCTTAAGGGAAGAACAGGGAAAGAGCTAGAGGAAGCTGAAGACCAGCATGGTTAATGGTAGATTCAGATCCCTGGAACCGGCTTTCAGTTCCCACCGGAGCCAGCCCCAGCTCGCGGCTGAAGCCAAACCTCCACCTCAAGTTTGATGTTGCCGCGGCTGCCTACACCTTCCAGGTGGCTCCTAGGTAGCTCAGACACCCAGACTCTTGTCTCCAGAGCCGGGGCCCATTTCCTCTGAGCTTGCCTCCTGTTCCCCTCCCTCCACCCCACCTGCTAAGACCCTGCTTCCTTCTCCAGCTCTCTAATTTGTCCCTCCCTCTCTCCCTCCCTCCCTTCACCCCCATCATCAGTCCCAGAGGCCTCTCTCTAACTCCTCTCCCCTCTCTTCTTATTCTCCAGCCCCCATGACCCACAAGCCCAGCTTCTCCCTGCGTTCAGGGGTCCCTTCTTCTTTCCCGCCCTCTGACAGTCTCCTGCCCTCAAACCTCCCTACTGCCTGCCTGCATGCCTCCAACATCCTTTGCATGCCTGTCCCAAAGGAGGAGCTACTGGATTAGCTGGGGGGTAATGGGGTATATGCTGAAGTCCCCCAGGTGTGTGGGGGTGAAAGTCCTTGTGTTCTCACCCGGTCTCAGATGGCTGAGACACGGTGAAGAAAGCCGTCAGTGCCTGGCATTTTGTATTTAGTTGTTATTTGTTAAATGAATAAATGAAGAGGAACTGGGCAGGGTCCTGAGAAATTTTAGGGAAGTGCCAACTTGCTGCCAGAGGAACTTTAGTTACCAGATGGGGTTCTAGGTTGCTTATAGGACCTCTCTCTCCCTCTCCTTCTCTCTCTCTCCCTCTCTCTCCCTCTCTCTCCCTCTCTCCCCATGCTGAGGACAGGTCTGATCAAGCGCTCAAACCCTGGGCTACCACCCTAACCCCTCCTATGGGTTTTCTGCCACCTCTTTGCCTTTCACCTAATCTGTCCTGAAGACCAAAACCAGATTCATCATCCTAAAACGCCACTCCCTTCCTGCTCACGAACTCAGCCAGTTGCCCACCCTAACCCCCCCCCCCCCGTGCTATTGTGATACCAGTCTCTACTGTTTGGCCTTCAAACTTTTGGAGGCTTTGCTTTCCTCTGACTCCTATGAGAACCCATGGCCCCAGCTGGCTGGATCCACGGCTGCTCCTCAGCACACCTGGTCCTTGCTCTGTGGCTCAGGCTGTGTCTGCTGCAGCCAGCCATTCCTGCCTGGGGAGAGTGGACCATCCTCCCTCTGAGCTCCAGGCTCTGAGTTGGCTTCTCTAGGAATCTGCTCTTATCCGAACATCAGTGGCCTGCTCCTGGAATTTCCCGAGCTGAATTGCCTCATGCTCTGTTTCCACGGGGCTGCTGTCTTATCTCCCCTGCTGGTTGCAGCTCCTTGGGGGCAAGAACTAACTCCTCTTACCACACAGGCCTCCTTCCAGGGCCTTTCTTAGTGAGGGCAGTGGAGAAGCCATGGCCAGAAGAAAAAGAAAGGTCTCCTTGTCACCCAAGCTTCTAAAAGCCCTCCAGTTAGAGAAGGTGGCAGTTAAGCCAGATGTCTAGAACAGGTGTGGACACAGCATGGGTTCTAAACCCCAAAGATCTATCATGAGGGTGGAAAAATAGCTTCCCTAGTCTCCTATTAGCAGGCTAATATCACAGGGTGGAGGTGGAAGGAGTCAGAGGCACGCAGGGACAGAGCGGGTTGACTGAGAATTGAAGGAGGTTGAAACCTTCCATGTTTTCAGTCTTATTATGGCCAATAGCGGAGCAAACGGGGCCTTGGAATCAAGGCTGGCTAGGTTGCAGCCATGGAAAAAGACAGAGGCAGAGCTAAAATCATTTCCCCCTCTGGATAAGTTAAAACTCTTCTCCTAGAGGAGCCTAAACCCTGATCATGTCATGCTGCAGCTCCACAACCTTCAATATCTCCCCATTACCTACAAGAGAAAACCCATGCTCTTTGGCCTAGAATTTAAGAACCATTTCCCGGGCTGGAGAGATGGCTCAGTGGTTAAGAGCACTCACTGATCTTCCAGAGGTCCTGAGTTCAATTCCCAGCAACCACATGGTGGTTCACAACCATCTGTAATGAGATCTGGTACCCTCTTCTGGCATGCAGGCATACATGGAGGCAGAATGCTGTATACATAATAAATACATAATTTAAAAAAAAAAAAAAAAGAACCATTTCCCCATCTGCCCCCAGGCTATTTTTCCAGCCCTGTTCCCTCTGACTCTCCAGTGCCCAGCCACAGGAAACACATGTTCCATGTTTATTGACTACATGCTTCTTTTTTTTTTAATTTATTTTTATTTTATGGCATTGATGTTTTGCCTGCATGTATGTCTGTGTGAGGATGTTGGATCCTCTGGAACTGGAGTTACAGACAGTTGTGAGTTGCCATGTGGGTGCTGGGAATTGAACCCTGGTCCTCTGGAAGAGCAGTCAGTGCTCCTTCTGTTTTGTTTTGATTTTCCAGACAGGGTTTCTCTGTAGCTTTGGAGCCAGTCCTGGAACTAGCTCTTATAGACCAGGCTGGCCTTGAACTCGCAGAGCCCTGCCTGCCTCTGCCTCCCAAGTGCTGGGATTAAAGGCGTGCGCCACCACCGCCCGGCTTGAGCAGTCAGTGCTCTTAACCACTGAGCCACCTCTGCAGCCCCTGGAGATGCTTCTACACTCTGCATTGCCCCATGTATGAAATGCTCTTCCCCATTTTCTCTAGAGCCCTGTTGGATGAGCCTACATGGAAGCTTTGAAACCCAACTCATGCCCATCCCCCCCCAACCTTCTCTCCCACCCCTCTTCTATCCCTCCCACCCCCAACCCTTGCTTCTGTGAAGCCTTCTCCTGTCTCTAAGCCTAAAGTCCAGAGCTGTCTGATGGCTGAGCTCACTGAGGGACTGGAGTGTTTTCTGCTAGCATGGGATCTCCCTGGTGTCTTGGTGACGGATATTGAATACGTAAGTAATCGCTATGAGTTGCT